TTCAGTTCACGTAATGTAAATGGCAGATCCAGATTCACACCCAAGCAGTGCAGCTCTAAAGCCTCTGCTACCAACCACTGCTGCTGCCTCACAATAAAATAAGGTAACCAACCACCTGGTGATGTGGGAGCTATAGACAGTTATGGAAATTCGGTGTGGGCTTTTGCCACATAACTAGACTTAGACACATATATTCAAGATCTTCAGATTTTTAATACATATGTGGCCTGGGGAGGAATGGATAAGGAAGAACTCTTATCTTTTTCAGTTCTGAGAGTAGTATTGCTACATCTAAATCCAATATGGCAATATTGACTTAGTAATGTGTCATAAGGAAGGTGTTCCATAAATAGCAAAAATTATCAATAACAACAGAAATTAAATTCCTGCTTTTATCTTGTGATAAAGCATATGTAATAAAATAAAAAGAAAAGTTTTACAAGCTATATGTTTTTATAAGTGAAAAATATTTATTTGTAATCAACTTTGATATTATGAAGGAACATACAACCATTAAAAAACCACGATGCCTTGTTTTCATAAGTGCCAGGGCTCCATTTGCATTACCCAAGGGCGAATGGGAAATTAACAAAGACTGTGCTGTGAACTTTCAATGTGTGCCTAATGTTAACAGTTATCACCATGTCATGTTGTCCTTGCAAGTTCAACACTCCACTGACTTCATGTGTTTCTGCTTAGTCTTCAATCAGAATAAGCCAGTAAGAGAAAGTGGCAGTTCTGTATTCACCATTACTTAGATTTTAGTGTAGGCATTTGATTTTGCCTGAAATCGAAGCATTTGCCTTTATGAAAAATAAATTCTTTATTAAAATTTATAATAAGCATAATCCTGTCAAATAATGTTACGAAACAACTTTTCTAAGCTAAAAGTAGTAGACATTTATAAAAGCTTGGGAGGAGAGAGGCCTTGAGTGCAATTTGGTGCTTTCACACTAACAGATGCTATTCTTTCCGGGCTTTCCTACTTCATTATTTTCTTATTTATGGTTTAAAAGAGAGAAGCTCTGATCTATTTTATTTTCTTATTTTGTTTGTGATGGAAAACTTCATGATTGTATTAGTTTAGCTATATGATTCCTTGTGATGTAAGACTCCATCCTTAGCCTCCTTGACAACTAGAAAAGTCATCTACTGCCTGAGGATCTCCACTGCTCAATTTCTTGAGGAAGTAAAGCAGGATTTATTCTTCAGCACTGCTTTACAATAGTTTTATCTTCCTTTCTTCTATTGACAGATATATTTAATAAGTGATATATTTAATATCTGTTCACATATCTTAAACACATGTGAGGAAGTTTTTGGTTTGGGTGTTTTTAGAAGGAAATAATTTTGAACTTTTCACTTTAAAAAAGAAACAGAAATTTCCCTAAGATGTTCGTAATCAAATGATGCAATAACATATTTATTAATTCCTGACTCTCATAGTTTTTGTCATTGAAACAATATTGAATGAAAACTAATAATGCAGTACTTATAAACATGGCACTATGAATTTTTTATATATCTTATGTCATTTAATTCTAACAATAACCTTATGATCTTAATATTGTCACCTGGAGATAAATTGATTTGTTTAATATAGTCACATGATGTTTAACTACAGGGAAGCATTCTGAGAAATGCGTGGTTAGGTGATTTCATTGTTGTGTGAACATCATGGAGTGTACTTACACAAATCTAGATGGCATAGCCTACTACACACTGAGGCTTTATGGTGTAGCCTATTACTTCTAGGCTACAAACCTGTACAGCATGTTACTGTACTGAAGACTGTAGGCAATTGGAGCACAATGGCAAGTATTTTTATATCTAAACATAGCTAAACATAGAAAAGGTACAGTAAAAATACAGTATCAAAGATTTAAAAAAATGGCATACCTATTTAGGGCACTTACCATGAATGGAGCTTGCAGGACTGAAAGTTGCTGTGGGCGAGTTAGTGAAGGAGGGAGTGGTGAATGAATGTGAAGGCCTAGGACATTATTGTACACTACTGTAGACTTTATAAACACTGTACACTTAGGCTACACCAAACTTATAAAAATATTTTTCTTTCTTCAATAATAAATTAATCTTAGTGTACTGTAACTTTTTACCTTGTAAACTTTAAACAAAATTTTACCTTTTTGACTTCTGTAATAATACTTAGCTTAAAACATAAACACATTGTACAATAGTACAAAAATTCTTTTCATCTTTATTCTGTAAGCTTTTTTCTACTTTGAATTTTAAATTTTTTTTTAACTTTTTAAACTTTTGTTTTTTAAACTAAGACACAAGCATATAGTAGGCTAGGCCTACACAGGGTCAAGATCATCCATATCCCTGTCTTCCATGTCCACATCTTGTCCCACTAGAAGGTCTTTGGGGGCAATAACATGCATAGAGCTGTCATCTCCTATGACAACAATGCCTTCTGCAGGAATACCTCCTGAAGGACCTGCCAGAGGCTGTTTCACAGTTAACTTTTTAAAAAAATAAGTGGTAAAAATACATCTAAAATAATGATTAAAAAATAGTAAATACATAAACCAGTAACATAGTCATTTATAATCATTATCAAGTATTATGTGTTATACATAATTATGGGTGCTATACTTTTATCTGACTGGCAGCACAGTAGGTTTGCACTAGAATCATCACTAACACATGAGAAATTCACTGTGCTATGATGTTACAACGGTTATGATGTCACTAGGCAATAAGAACTTTTCAGCTACATTATAATCTTATGGGACCACCATTGTATATGCAGTCCATCATTGACTGAGATGTCTTTATGTGGTATGTGACTGTATTTCAAAACCTGTTAATGCTGGTTCAAGAATTAGAACCCAGGTCTGTCTATCCCAGGGTCCACTCAGGAGACAGAACCTAAATAGTAATTTGAGCATGAAAAGTCTAATTTAAAGAATTATTAACTATGACAGGGAGTAACTATGATTGTCTACTAAGGAGTAAAAAGAACTCTAAGAATTGATAAGAGCAGATATAGGAAGTGGTCACTATCCCTAGGCAGAGCATCTAAGGAAAGAACAGATTTTAATGAAGCCCACTCAATGGGATCCAGATCTCTTTAGAGAATATGCATCTATGGCCCAGTGAATGGTGGAGTTCACTGAGGTGACATGTTAGTGGAGCTCGCAGGGAAGTCACTTTCTGGGGTTCTGTGAGAAACTGTCCATAGGGTGATGTCACACTGTGGAACTCACTGAGCACCCATTGATGGGAAGTGCTACACCATGGAACTCTCTGGGAAGCTCCTAGTGGTGGGAGGAGGGGGGTAGCCTATAGTGTGCCAGAGAAATTGGCTAGAAGGTGCCCTGCCCAGCTGGCCACTGTGCACTGCAGGAGCCTGCCAAGAGAAACACCAGAACCAGGAAGAGCCCCTTTATCCTCTAGTTCTCTCTGTTGCCCTCTATGGTTGATGCTTAAAATCGTGCCACATGAAAAGGGAAAAATGTTCTAATCTCACAACAGGACAATGAAGGATGGATTTAGAGCTATGAGGCAATAGATTGATACCTGGCACACTGCTCACCAATAAATCTACTTTCTTAATTGTAAGGTCATACTGCCTTATGCTTACTTTACCAGAAAATATGACATTTAACAAAATAAAAGAAAATAAGAATAAAGGAAGGGAAAAATGTAGCAGGATTATACATGGAGATTTACATCAGTATCTTTCTTTTCTTTAAAATGTTTCTATGTAGAGTCACTTTATTTTTTAGACAGAGTCTCGCTTTGTCGCCCAGAGTGAGTGCCGTGGCGTCAGCCTAGCTCACAGCAACCTCAAACTCCTGGGCTCAAGCAATCCTGCTGCCTCAGCTTCCCAAGTAGCTGGGACTACAGGCATTCGCCACCATGCCCGGATAATTTTTTCTATATGTATTAGTTGGCCAATTAATTTCTTTCTATTTATAGTAGAAATAGAAAGGGGTCTCGCTCTTGCTCAGGCTGGTTTCGAACTCCTGACCTCGAGCCATCCGCCCACCTCGGCCTCCCAGAGAGCTAGGATTACAGGCGTGAGCCACCGCGCCCGGCCTGTAGAGTCACTTTAAATGATCAGGAGACTGCTTCATTGAATTTTAGTACACTGGCTTAATAAACCAAAAACTAAAATTACAAACTAGAGACCTAAGGCCATATTAGAATTTTTTTACTCTGCAATTTAAATTATTTTTTAATTCCAGTTTTCTCATCTACCAGTTAATGCAGGGCATGTTCAGTTGACAAACTTCATTTGCAAATAAGCTTCCTTAGATATAGGAATCCTTGCATCATTTATAGACTGTGAGACTGGGACAACTTATTTAATTTTTCTGAGTCTCAGTTTCTTCATGTAAAAAGAGATAATATTAGGATCTACCTTACAGGGGTTATGAAAATTAAATGTGTTAATATTTTAAAGCACTTGGAACAATTATTTGCAGATAACATGTGCTATATAGGTGTTTGTCAAGTAAAAATATTCAGTTATAGCAGATACATTTTTACATTTTCTTGAAAACCATAGCTTAGGAATATTAATTATTTTAGTAGTTCTAGTTTGTGGAACTCTATACCTACTCAATGTTTTTGTCAGATTAATCTGATTCCATTGTTTAATGGTAATTAGAAATAAAAAAAATATATAGTTATGTTATAGGAAAAAATATATAGTTATGTTATAGGATGTATAACAAGAATTCTGTTCATTGGATATCTTAATTTTTTCCCCGAAGCTTTAACAGTACTGCTCTAAACTGATAGTATTTGAAAATATTAGTAAATTTCGTACCCTTTAATTTTTGCTGGGAATTAACTGAACAATAAGAATTTTGGTGAAGTAACTTTGACTAAAAACAAAACTCAGGTTTTCAATATAATATTCAGTATTCAAATTGTTAAATAGTTTTTAATTTTCATCTCTTAATCATGAAGACATTCTATAAAATGATTAAAATTTTAAATATTTTTCTTTTTTTTTTTTATAGGTGGCCAGGAAAAATATCCTGAACTGATCAAAAAGTTCCAGGCAATTGAAATGTTATTTACACTCTATCCTCCTCAAGGTGCGCAAGTGCGCAATAATACACAACTTAAGTCAACGTGGCTGAGACCTGTAATAAATGGGGAAGAAGGATATAAATATATAGGTAAGAAAGTGAACTTCATTTTTTATAATAAAGAATTTATATTTTATAATATATATAATAAATAAAATATACTCATTTATCTTTTAGATGATGTGGGATGATACATAGGCCCTATAGAATATTCCCTTTACTTCCTAGCTATTGTGCCTGCAATATAAAAAGTGACTATTTTATGTTTTGATTCCTTCACTAGAATAGTGGAAACACAGTATGATTATCTACTCAGCTGTTGGTGGACATTTGAGTTGTTCACCTTGGGTTTACTACAAGCTGCTATGAACATGTTCATAGCTGTGTTTAGACACGTGCTTGCATTTTCTTGGCTAAACTGTTTTCCAAAGTGGTTATACTATTTCATATTACCCACTGACAGAGATATGAGAGTTACATTTGTTCCACAGCTATATCAACACTTGGGATAATCAGTCTTTCTGATTTTAGCCAATTTAATAGATATGTATTGGTGAGAACTGTAGTTTTAATCTGGATTTCTCTAGTAAATAATGATATTCAGCATCTTTTCATGTATTTATCATTTGCATATCTTTTTTGGCAAAGTGTCTGTTCAGATCTTTTGGTCATTTTTATATTGTTTATTATTATTAAGTTTTGAGAATCTATTAGATATTCTGGATATAAATCACTTAACATATATATACTTGGTAAATATTTTCTCCCACTCTGTGATTTGTCTTTTCTTTCTTTTAATAGCATCTTTGGAAGAGGAGAAGTTTTTAATTTTGGTGAAATCCAGTTTACCACCATATTCATTTGTGACTTATACTTCTGCTGTTATATTAACTGGAACACTGATATTCTGTTAATGCAAATGTGAATGATAAAAGCACTTTGCAAAATAGTTTGGGACTTTCCTAAAAAGTTAAACGTACACCTACCATACAATCCAGCCATTACACTTCTGTATAATTTACCTAAGACAAAAGAAAATATATGTTCATTCAAAAACTTGCACATGAAGATTCATAGTACCTCCCCCCCTTTTTTTTAATAAAAGACTCATACTAGAAACAACTTAAATGCCCATCTGCAGATGAATGGATAAATATATTGTGATATATCCATGTAGAATACTCATCAATATTTTAAATAAAACATTGATACTATTGATACATAACATGGATGAATCTCAAAATATTTTATTATACTGAGTGAAAGAAGCCAGACCAAAAGTAGTACATACAATATGATAACATTTAAGTAAAATTCTAGAAAATACAAACTAACCAATAGTGACAGAAGCAGATCTGTGGTTACTTTGGGATAGGGTTGGGAGTGGGAGTGAGAGGTGTTGGCTTTAAAAATTTGAAAGTGATGGAAATGTTTGTCATCTTGATTGTGGTGATGGTTTCATGGGTGTATACATGCCAAAATTCACCGAGTTACATACTTTAAATATATGCTGTTGTTTGTCATTTAAACCTCAATAAAGCTATATAAAGAAAGTGGCAAACATAAATATTAAAGAACACAGGTAGTGAAACTTTTATTTTGGCATTATTTTTGAAGATGTTTTGTCATTAAATTTTAACACTTGCATTTTAAAACTTATTTAAAGAGAGTCATAAGTTCAATGTAATCTCATTGTGTTGATGTATAGAAATGTATATTTTAGTGCACACTTCTGGGACAGACACCTCAGAGAGAGAAGAATAGGGAAAAGAAAGGAAGGAGCATTACGAAAAAGAATATCTTAAGTCGAAGACTTTGGGTTCTATGAGATAATTCAAGACCTTGGTTTCTATTTATTTTCTCTTCAGTTTTCCACCTGAAATTACCAGAACATGACCCATATCATTCTAACGATTTGTATTTGTTGTTTAGAGCCCGTTTGAAAAGATTTTGATAAAATAAAACAAACATAAAGGAAATATGCAGATGATATTGTGTTGTAACTTGAGACCTCTGTCTTCTGAGCTTTTAAGCTGATTGTTTTTTTTCCTTTTTCTCTGGTTAAGTGACCAGAGTCTTGCATCTTTTTGAATTACAGTTGTTATTAAATTGACTGATAAGAGAGTTGTAGCATTTGCCTTGAAAAAGATGTCTATTATAGAAGTGTTTCCTAAAATTGAGTAATTCCTTAACTATAAATATTTTAGGGAAGATAGCTTGGGAATTTATTATGTGTTCCAACATTAATACTCCATGATGTAGGCACTTCTGTTTATTTACTTCACTCTGTAGATCCAGAGATGTATCATCAGCAAGAATTGAGGAGCAAGTAGAGTTATGAATGGTCTATGAACAGCATGGGTTGCTAACAAGTTATCTAGTATTAGGACCATAGATTCTCTAAAAATACCTGGTATATCCATATTTTCATATCCCATAATTCCTAGAACAGTGCCTTAAATGTATCTGGAATGCTGCATAAGTTATAATTTCAATTTGCTGAATATATACAAAAAGCTTCTTCTCAGTTATTATAATCTGAGACCAAGTAAAACACAAGTATTTAAATTTTTTCAGGGATATGTGTTTTATTAAACTTAGTTTCAGAAAGGGTATATTGGAAAGCTAGTCTTTTAACGTGTCTTCACTTATCTTTCCTTATGTGCTGTCTGCTCCCCCAGCCCTCTGGTCTGTCACACATATGCAGAGCTTTTTGCTCTCCTTCATTAAGCTTTTGTGACCTTGGCTAATTTTCAACCTAGAAACTGTAGATTATATTAAGTTACATTTTAGCCCTATAATTCTTGGAATTCTAACAGAGATACCTTGAAGGGGTAGGTTAGCCATTATCTTTCAAGGAAATCGTTAGGGAATACAAATTAATGATTAAATTATTTTCTCAAATGAATGGTCTACTTTAACTGAAATCATATTATTGTATTACTATAAGGTTTCTAATTAGTTCAGATCTGAGTAATGAGCACAGACCTCTAGTTCTGCTACTTCTTTTCATATATAATTTCTACCACTTCATGTAATACATTTTACTTACCCTTATAACATATGGTTATTTAAGTTATGTAATTAATACTAGAACCTGATATCTTTTCCTAATCACTGTTTTGTATTAAAAAAGTACAAGGTACCTTTTAATGTCATTCAGTTTGTTCGACTGCTTTTAGGCAAGACTTGATGTACATTAACGAAAGGAAAATATATGTCATCTTTCTAGACTGCAGCAATGACATTGTCCTTGCCAGTCAGGGCTGATTTTTGATGATCGTCTCTCAAAATTTTCAACTTTATAACATAAGACTTTCTTTTCTTATATATCCGTTATTACGGTTAAAATTTTTTCACTATCCACAAAATAAAGGCTATGCATAAGTTATTATGACTCTTTTTCTAAAGTGTGCTATTTAAAGTAATTTTTAGAATCCCGCCTTCTAATCCTTGATGTATTTTGGCACTTCTTTCTGAACAGTTTTCACATTTTCTCATTTTTTTAAGTGATAGAGCTCAGAATAAGATGTGATAATCTAATACATGTCTGATTTATTGTGAATATAATCTTAGCTACTACTAGTTCTGCTTATATTTTTATACTTTTTAAAGACTTTTAAAAATATACATCCCAGCATTTATTGGACTTCTACCCATAATTTTTAATCTAATTTTGTCATATTTTCTTATAATTATTTGATATGTGTATAATTTATTTTACCTTCTTAAACTTGCTATCTTGATTTGTCCTGATTTTCCCTCATTTATTTAGAATAGAGACATTTATTACTTTTGTCTAAACTTAATTTTGAATCCATTCTTTGAGTTATTTTTTAGGATTAGTTATTATAAAATGAAAAGCACAAATTCTGATTTGAAAGGAGCTTTATATATTTTATATTATTTATATCTGCTTAAGTATAGGAAATGGTCTATTATACTTTGGCTAAATTTAAATATACTATGGTTAGTTAAATGTCATGCTTTGCCTGTAGAGTATCTACTTGCTTGAAATGAATAATGTAGTCACTAAAAAATATATTTTATACCCAATTGGACTTGTAAAAGTTGTTTGGTTATATACCAATCATCCCTTTTTCTTTCCAACTATATACTGCCATCAGCCTCCAATTTCATGTTCTCTAATGTCCCTTTGATTTGTTGTTGTTAGTGCCAAATGATATGAATGTGTTTTCATAGTAATTGTAGTTGCTGATGGGGAAAATGTTTTATTTTTACATGGCTCAGTTGGTTAAAATTTTCAACATTCAGTATACTTACAGGAATGTTCTAAGAGCAAGATAAAAATGAATGCCATATTATATCTGGTTAAAGTTTTTCAACTACGCCCAAGTCACTAAAAATTCTTTAGGGTGAAGAATTAGATCTTCCTCATTTAATGAAATAAGTATGCTCTATGTGAGTTCCATTTGTCTTAGAAATTGAAGGATAAAATCAGAGATATATCTCCTATCCTCCAAACTCCACTTGACAAAGCTGTTGGAAGCATCTGAGGAAGAAGACATTACGATGGCACCAAGTCCATTAGATAAAGGAAATGCGAGTTGCACATTGCACACTTACAATAGTCTACTACTCAATACTGCCTAACTTTGAAAATGAAAATTAGAAGATTAATGTTTCATTATAATTTCTGCACATATTCATTTAACAAGTATTAATTGAATGCCTACTATGTGCTTGACAACAAAATTGGAAACTTAGCCTTAATCCCTGCCCTAGAAGTGTTCACATTCTAGCAGATCCAAAGCACTATCAGAATTTTGGCTCAAGTAGGTTCAATGAGCACCTGTATTGGTCTATAGGTTAAATAGAATGCTACCAAATGTTAGAACTTGAAAAATGTCTTGGAAGAACATCTAGAAATAGCAAAAGATGACACCAACATTCGATATCTTAAATGAAAAGACAAAGCTGAATTTACTGCCAACTAAAGTAAAGGAGAGTTATGCTGGTTAGGTATAGCCTCTCTGAGCAAATCAGACTGTTGATTTTATATATAGTTTGGGGACGAATGGTAGCCAGCCTCCAAGATGGCCCCCATGATGGTATTCATGCATTTCCAC